TCTCCACCTGTCTCAATGCCTATTTGTGTCATTGTAACGGTACCCCCAGCATAAAAGGGGTTAAAAACCATTTAGTAGATCTTCCCCTTCAAGAGATACAGGCACAGTTACTGCAGAACACTAAACTCCCGAACTGCATACAAAATAGCACTCCAAACTCCCGAACTGGAACCTCACGAATAGCTGCTAGCAGCAGAATAGGAAAAGCACCCAAGTGGCTTACACTCCTAGCAATCAGTCTCTAACAGCATACAGTAAATCCCCCCAAGAACAAGACAAGGCTCCGTGTTGAGGGTTAAGCAGTGGTCTGGTTTATTGAGGGCTACCTGCCCAGTATTTATGCAGGTCTCCCACCTGGTGGACACTCCCCTAGGGGACCAGATAGAAGACTGTAACACAGACAGACATGTATCACATTCAGACACACAGAAGTAAAACACCCCCACAATGCATCCTAATTTCCCTCCCTCTATCCTGGAGATAATTGTGAAGTAATCCAATTATCTCCCAGGAGAGAGGCAAAGCGCCATTATACACGTGGGGACACAAAGACAGTAAAATACATTAAAACATATAATATTAAATTTATTACACAAAATCCATACATGTCACATATCCCCAGATATCTGGGATCTGAGCGCAAATAACTACCGAATAGCGCTCAGATCCCACACACATAGTTCAATTGCCATGGAGCCAAAGTCTTTAATTTCACGAATAGGTTCCATGGCATAGCTATCTGGGTCAAATACATTGACTTAGTAAAGTCCTGATTGAACCGGCGTTTGGTTAAATAGCCACGAATAGAATCAGGGAAGGCTGGAGGCTCAGCGGTGCCTGAACGTAAAAGTATCCGCTTTTAGTGCACTGAATCCGGGCTGCGCACCGCTGGCCGTCTGGGGAGTGTAACCGCAGCCACCCAGTAACAATCAATTAAGCTGTGGTTAACCGCAGCTACTGGGTGGTCAATTGACGGCACACGCTAGCTTCAGTGAGACAGATTGAAGGCACACGCCAGCTTCCCGGTGGTCGCGCCTTCGGTATTTTGTTCAGTAGATAACATCTACCGAATACCCTGGCAGAAAGGCACGAATAAGCCTTTCTGCAGGGAGAATAAAGTCTTTTAAAAGTCCGGGCCATAGTCTAAAGGGAGCAGGTGGGCAACCAGGCTCCTCCAATGCAATGTGGCGAGTTTGGTCTCGTCACAGTCATTATTGCAGATTATAATCTCTGTCTATGCAGAGAAATACAATGGCATTTGTATTGCTGGTATTTTATAGAAGAGGCGAGCACACCCTCACTCACTAAAATAATACATACAATATAAGTGTAATTACTAATATAGTGCAAAGTATATAATAAATAATGTTCTAGATAAAAAAAGAGATTAAGTGCGCAACTCTAACCCTGGGGCATATGAAAACAATTATCTGAATACAAATGCATGTATAAAGGAAACGCTTACTTA